ACCTGAGCCGAAGTCAGCTGCCTAACCAACTGAGCCACCCAGGCACCCCGAACTGTTCTAAACTGTTAAGCAGGAATCCTTCTGATACAAAGACTTGGCTGGCCCACGCATTTAAAAAATCATCAGCTATAGGGACAGGCCGTGTCCCCCTGGGCACAGAATTCCACAGCCACGTCTCTGCTGCAGAGCTTTTGCCCTGGGCTTGGGCCTGCAGGGGCCACTGAAGGAGCCAGCTAATGCCCCTGCTAACTGCAAGCACATAAATAAGGTAGCCACGGATTCCTGGATAAACATGCCTGAAGGTGTTGGAGTGTCCTCTGCACAGCCTCCCAGAATCTCCTTGCAAGAGGGAGCCCCAGTTACTCCCAGCGGTGCCTTGTCACTCAGCACCTGCACCTGACCAGTGCCTTCCAGCTGGTGCTGTGGGTGTTGGCTTCAGAGAAATTCCACCTGAGGCTGTCAACAATAGTTTTTGGAACTCTGTCAGACACACGGTCATTTTTTTTTTTTTAATGTTTATTTATTTTGGAGAGAGAGGGAGAGAGAGAATCCCATGCAGGTTCTGCACTTTCAGAGCAGAGCAGGACGTGGGGCTCAATCCCATGAACCATGAAATCATGACTTGAGCTGAAATCAAGAGTCGGACACTGAACTGACTGAGCCACCCAGGTGCCCCTTGATTTTTTAAGTTAATATCATAGCAGAAGTGATTTTATAGTGTTTGGGGAAGTGGGGGAGGTTATATCCCAAAGCACTTTGTAAAATTTGCATGTTATGTTATACAAATATGGGCTGATGGTTGAGTTAGGAAAAGCAGTAGCCTAATAACAGCAAGGACAGGCTAATGTTCGCTGCTTAATCACAGAACTCATAACTACCCATCATCTCAGCTTTCCAGAATCGTGGCCTACCCGTAAATCAGATATAGGCTAACACAGAGGTTCCTAAAACCTGAAGGAACACTTGATGTCAGTGAAAGGCAGTGGAAAGAATATTAGTGTCATAATCATAAGTGTTTTATTTAAAAACTGCTAAGAGTATGACCTTAAGAGTTCTCATCAGATTAAATACCTGTGTGGTGACAGGTGTTAACGAGGCTCATTGTGATCGCCCCGCGGCACATACGAACATCAAATTGTACGTGCATGTCTGTTACACTGCAACAAAAAGTGAGCTTTTAGGGAACATAAAAGAATCGTAAGTACAAGTGTAGATTACAGAGAACAATTTGTATTGTTAAAGGATGTAAGTTAGTAGGCTGATGGTGTTAAACACACGTTTACTTTGAAAATGTGACTTTCTCGGGGTGCCTGGCTGTCTCAATCGTAAGAGCGTGCGACTCTTGATCTGCAGATCGTGAATTTGAGCCCCACGTTGGAAGTAGAGATTACTAAAAAACAAACAAAAGAAAACATGTTTTTCTTGGTGAGGAGACCTCGCATACCGGACTCAGGTGAAGCCAGTTCCAGAAGCTACAGTCAGGCCATGTTATACCCCCTTTGCCGGGTGGAGGGCAGAGGGTCGGGGCTCCGGCTCGGGTGTTGAACACGCCGGTTGCCCCGTGTGGTCTGGCTGCCCCAGACCAACATGCAGTTGGAGGAGGCTCTTTACAGGAAGTCTGAAGGGCAGCCTCAGTCCCCGCCTGAGATGGTAGAGGAGGTGTGACTTCTGGCGCTCGAGCACCTGATGACCCGGAGGTGACATCACTTGTGACCACTTGGGGGCCCAAAGTCGGCAGACGCCTTGAGCTTCTCTAAGTCAGCATAGCGAACCTCCCCCGTCCCACCAGTGAGTGCTAGGAAGTCAGGCTCCCCTGCTTCCGCTGCAGGGAGGGGCCGCTTTTCGTGCCATTTACGTTTGGTTTCTGTGTATCTTGTGGTCAGCAAACGATTTTCCAGAGAAGAAAGAGGCACGGGCCAATTTATTGGTAAAGTAGGAGGGGGATAAGCTTGACCACATCCGTCCATGGTTAGGGTACGGAGGGTGCCACCCTGGGGCGAAGAGACCAGAACCCTCCTAACTGCATATCCATCTTTGGAA